ATATAATGTATATGTATATGTATATGTATATGTATGAATGTATGTATGTTTGTCTATTTAAACATTTATATATATTCTGGTGTCACGTATCTTGTGATTAAGCTCACCTGTACATGTATTGACTCACAGGTACCACCTCGATCCTTGGCCCTGTTCCAATCGCAACGGACACATTTCACACGGGCACTGCGAGCGGCAAACACATTCAACACACACCAGCAGCACTCAAAGACACCCTGTACACACACACGCTCGTGTGTGTGCAAGACACCCTGTACGTATACACACTCACAAACCCGCGGGTATGCCCGCGACAGTAGGCGCTCGGTTCAGGCTGAGTTGCCGCCTATCATGAAAATGCCCATAGACGATGGGAAAGCTGATACGTATGTAGTGGGGAGTAGGGGAGATGCAATTGTTGTGACCGCTCAACACCGTGACGATATACAGGCGGCGTTGGCGTTCAATGCTCAGGCCCGGCAGGTGTTGTCGCAGGTGAGTGCGTGGATTGGTTCTGTAAATGTGTAAAGAAACACTGATGGGTGTTTAGTGATCCGTCTTTCGTTTGTGTGTATTCATACATCTATATACTATATACACGCTGGAAAATGTGTTGGTGCGTGTTCGGGTGTGTTGCCGTATCCTGACATCTGCGGATAGACATGCTATAGTAGGGGCCTGTTACAACTGCATGCATTGGCAGACGGTCATGACGTGCTTATATTAGAGTCACTGTAGCAAAAAAATCATTTCTCACCCAAAATAGTATGATTTTGGGTCTATGCCGATAATCAATCCCAAATCATAGTATTCGTGGTCAGGATATATAGCAGGCACTGAACTGACCATACCAGCCCATCCGAATCAGTAGACCGAATTCATGGTGCATTAAACTAGCACCATATCCACAGTCAATGGCATTACGTACATCTATAGCAAATAGGCATAAGATTGTGGACTACTCAATGAATGTTAAGCCCTTTGTGTGATAATCCAGGTTTGCGTCACGCGCTCAGTCGAACAGGCGTGGCAGTCAAGACATGCATAGCAAATCCCACCAGTGGTTCATGTGCTGTTTCAATTTCGACTCCATTGTGGCTGTAGCTTTAAAGCAGCCTCATTAAGATTCTTATCACATATACCATCGCCGTTCGTTTTGGAGGTCGGATATTTATTGATCTATGTTGTACTATGTACTCATTACGAACCCCAATTAGCATTATATATGAAACCCGATTCACAGTACAACGGCCAGTACCAAAGCAGGCTTACTGTAAATAGAGACAAATCAATTGGGTCGATTCGGATATTTTCTTTGAATCTGGTTTCAAATTAGGGATATGTAGTGCCAGAATGCCGCATCCGGATCAGAGCCCCGAGAAACATAGGCAATTGGGAGTGTACCCTGCCGAAATAGAATCAGGAATTACACTCAACTCTCATCTCATTTTCCTACGCCTATTCCGTGCTCTGTAGTACAAAAACGATCCATCCCTGAAAGAGTCACGAGAAATGACTGGCACAAAGGAGTGGAAGAATACCATCCGCCGGGTGATCGACGGTCAGGGTGTGCGAGCATTTGCCGGAGACAAACGCCTCGCCGAAGTTCGGAAAGCCTGCATCATAGAGATGGCCCAGACGGATATCGGAGAGGCCTTCAGCCAGCGATTCGACAAGACTGTCACCGATTTTCTTGCGTACGTACTGCACACTGATTTGTATTGACTGTATGGTATGCCTGGCCTAATCAGGGAGGTCTGTTGCCTTGGTTACTGTACTCACGAGGGATTCGGATTAGTTTATGTTAAGGATCGTAGCTAGGCATAGGACAAACCACTGACGCACAGTCACGCTCGCATTCATAACCAAGCACCTATGTTGGGTCTCCGAGTCTGGGCCTTTTAGTTGATTATAGTGATGCTAGGGTAACTCCTCTTGCGTATAGTTATCAATATTTGTACTGCTATAGGCTTAACCCCACTTATATCTCCGTATGATTACTAATTGTATTCTGATAACAGTCTTGTTGATTATAATGATGTTAGGGTAACTCCTCTTGCGTATAGTTGTCAATATTTGTACTGCTAAAGGCTTAAACCCACTGATATCTCCGTATGATTACTAATTGTATTCTAATAACAGTCTTGTTGATTATATTGATGTTAGGGTAACTCCTCTTGCGTATAGTTGTCAATATTTGTACTGCTATAGGCTGAAACCTCTCCGTATGAATACTAATTGTATTTTAATAACAGTCTTGTTGATTATAATGATGTTAAGGTAACTCCTCTTGCGTATAGTTGTCAATATTTGTACTGATATAGGCTTAAACCCACTCATATCTCCGTATGACTACTAATTGTATTATATTAACAGCAAGAACGCACAGGCCCAGTTTCTTCATTCGTCGAAAACTACCACGGCAGTCGAGTTTGTGAAGAAGTACATCGCTGCACGTGACGCTGGAAATGAGTAAGTGTAGTGTGTGATCTCGTCAACACCTATGGACAGTTGAATATGTTTCAATTACTTCGCGTTTAATTGACGGATATTCTCGTGAGCAGGATTCAGTATGTGTTGTTGTTCAGCACCTGTCGACATATTCATCTATTTTGATTGCTTTTAGGTTTAGTTTTAAAGTGTAAAGATGTGATTCCGGATAAATATGCTTTGTATCTCCTGCGTGCGATATACCAAGGGGGTTTAAGTTCTTTCGAGCGTTTATTGGCGTGCATGTTGGGTGAAACAAGGCGTATTTCACTGTGTGATGCTGTACTTTCTCATACACGCATTCACAAAAACGGTATTTCACGTATGCGGATTTATCTGCGCCATCGGTTTAGATCAGTGCGCGGGCATATTACGAACCCCACTATTCACCGCACGCGTACATACGCATACAGATACAACAGCACGTAGTCATTAAATGCCAAGCCATGACTTTGTATGTGAGTCCCAACACACACATAAACTCAAACTCCGATATACAAGCCCGAGTTCGGCGGTGAACTGTCGATGTTTGTACGCCTCGCACAGGCTCTTCCATTCATTCTTGTAGGCTACCTGTGCTGTAGCGCCCACTCAGTCTGTCTGTGTACCACACCATATTATTCCTTTCCATCGCAAGGGAGAAGAAGAAGCCTGGCAAGGGTTCAAAGTCAAAAGCGGCACAGAAGGAGAACGACAGGCGAGAGTGGCTGCAGGTATTCCACGAGATACGGGGCTTGTATGACGATTTCGACAGGATGGATGCCTTGGACTGCTCGCCTTTGTTTAAAACATGTAGGTATACGTGCACGTACCCGTTGTATATTGTTGACCCTTATAGTAGTCTGGTAGGAGAATGTTCAGCCCTACGTATCTATGCGCCTTCGAGTACTCAAGTATACGTATACGTGCATGTCATATCTCCACAGGCCATAGGTACGCCTACACTACACGTGAAATGCGTCGACACTCATTGTTTGCCCGTATTCTACGCGTTCGTTAAATTTTTCATAAAAAAAGTGCCATCTGCTATAATGCACGGATATTGACCCTCTTTCCGATCAGTTCATATGATTTCGTTAACGTTTTCATCAAAAAGTACTATCTGCTATCATGCACGGACAACTTGGTTTGTGTTATAAAACCTTTAGCGGTAGTGAATGTCGCAAAGTCGGTTGTCGTAAACTCGAGAAGTACATGTTGTAATGCCTGGATAGTCAGGTATGTTATTAGTCCAACTTTCGCGGTAACAAGAATTGCAAATTCGAGTGTCGCAAAATCGAGTCCCAAATGTAACTACAAGTGTCGCAACCCCCGTCTTCCGTCGGGAGAGCCAGTACAAGCTCAAACATTCATTCATGTCTTATACTCACACTTATACTTAGGGACGCCACATGATAAGGTGCTGCTGCTGAATGACTACGAACTTTTCCAGGCCAAAGACGAGGAGTCGCTGAAAGATCAGATGAAACTGGCCAGTCGACTGGAAGTGTACTACAATCTCGATAACAATGTGCCTTCCGGCTCATGGTTCACGGCTAAAGGTAACGTATGGACATGTCTGTATATACAGGTTATATCATTTGGAAAGTGTGCCTTTCTATGTGGTTCTTGATAGAATGTTTAATACACTCATACATAGGTACATATGCTTCAACTACCACTTACACATTTGTATACATACACAAATTCATACGTACTATACATACATGTATGCATACCTGCATACCTACATACCTACTTACTTACTTACTTACTTACTTACTTACAATAAATACAAACATGCAAACATAAATACATACAATTATATATATCTAGATTCACTGAATTTGACTTTCACATACATTCACTGATTAAACAGCTACAAACACACATACATGAATACTCTGAATTATAACCACATACGTACATTTACGTGCGTGAGTCTATTATTGTGACAGTATAGTAGTTCATCGGACAGTACAACTGACAGGCTGCTCCTCTGTATTTGTCCTTCCTTCTTTTGTCTACAGCTGCACACCAAGAACAAGTAGAATTTGTGCGTCAGTTGCTAGAGGATCCGCACAAGCTACAGAGGTGGTTCATTGCAGGTATGGCGAGCTATGGAGGCTGTACCAACGATCATGCCATACATTATATATATCTATATATCTATATATATCTATATCTATATTTATATATCTATATATATGTGTGTGTGTGTATGTATGTATGTATGTATATATGTATATGTATATATATGTGTGTGTGCGTGTGTGTGTGTGTGTGTGTGTATGTATATATATATATATGGAATCTCTAATTCTAGAGCTGTTGCATGCTATGGTACTTTTGTTGATTTTTATTCAGTATGTTTCAGTGAGCTGAATGTATGCATATCCTCTCACATATGTATACGAGGTTCAACACACATCATATGAATATATCGTTCCTAGTACTTGCTTGTCTATAGTACAACCTGTATCCATTTGCAGTAAACGCGAACAATATGTAAGTGTTTGAAGCTGTTGAGTTATCTTTTGATATTCAAATCTCGGTGCATTAAGAAATCTGTTATCCCCCTACCCATCCTTCAAGGGCAAGGCCTCTCGATATCTGCTAGGGTGCGTACCGGTATAGCAAGCCAGTAGTCGGTTTGAAATAGATCAAAGTAATTCAGCCGATCTCCTCACAGAGTTCTATTTGTATGATAAATCATTCTGGAAGTGTTTGTTTGATCTGTGTGTCTGGAAATGTTTGGTCGTAGTGTACATACACGTACGTGGCTTGTGTCACTTGTTGGGGGTAATATAAATGTAATCAATTTACGAAATCCATAACCTTACCTCATATGATATATCCCAGGCATCCCTTCGAATATTCGATTCAAAGTGCACTCTATTCATCACACTTCTCTTTGATCCCCTACAGCTCCCGATGCGGATGTAGTGCTGGCCATGCGTGTGTTCTTTGCCAACAGAAGAGCAGTTCTCGATCAATTAGATATCGCATTCTAGTTGACAATTTTAATAAACAGGAGTGCAATTTTGGTGTCAGTCACTGAAAAAAAAAACATTTGAAGCTTGTAGACCTGAAGAAAAACATACCTCACCCTTTAAGACCATATATGATTGTATCCCAGTTTTCGATTGATATCAAATATATATATATATATATATACAT